TGTATCATGACTTGAAAAAGTCGTTTTGGTGGAAAGGGATGAAGAGAGATGCAGCATATTTTGTGAAAAAGTGTTTGGTCTGTCAGCAAGTTAAGGCCGAGCACCAGAGTCCATTAGGTCTGTTGCAACCAATAGAGATTCCTAAATGGAAGTGGGAAGAAGTTACCATGGATTTTGTTACAGGGCTACCTAAGTCATCAGAACAACATGACGCGATTTGGGTAGTAGTAGACAGGTTGACGAAAGTTGCTCGTTTTATGCCTGTATCAATGACTATGTCGATCGACAAGTTAGCTGAAATTTATACTCGTGGAATTATTCGACTCCATGGAGTGCCTGTTACAATAATATCTGATCGAGATCCCAGATTCACTAGTAAATTTTGGGAGAGTTTGCATAAGGCAATGGGCACGCAGTTAAGTTTCAGTTCGGCTTATCATCCGGAGACAAATGGCCAGTCAGAAAGGACGATCCAGACGCTTGAAGATATGCTCAGAGCTTGTATTCTGGATAGAGGTTCCAAGTGGGAGAAGTGGTTGCCGTTAGTGGAATTTGCTTACAACAACAGCTATCATTCATCAATTCGAATGGCTCCCTATGAAGCACTTTATGGCCGCAAGTGTCGTTCACCTCTTTATTGGGACGATGTTGGAGAGAAGCAAGTACTTGGCCCGAAGATAATTGAAGAAACTATTGAGCAAGTAGCCTGGATTCGAGAAAGACTCAAGACTGCTCAAAGTCGACAGAAGTCTTCAGCAGATAAGCATAGGCGAGAAATGCAATTTGAGGTGGGAGATGAAGTCTTCTTGAAAGTTCGACCTATGAGAGGGGTTATTCGTTTTGGGAAGAAAGGAAAGTTGCATCCTCGCTATATAGGTCCGTTTGAAGTTCTTGAACGGGTTGGAGAAGTATCTTATCGATTAGCTTTACCTCCTGAGTTGGCAAGCGTGCATAATGTTTTTCATGTATCGATGCTGCGTCCATATGTGTGTGATCTAGATCATGTGTTGCAGCACAATGAGATACAAATTCAACCAGATTTGACTTATGAGGAGAAGCCGGTAGCAGTTTTGGACCGAAAGGTTCATAGACTCCGAAAGCGAGATGTTCCACTCGTTCGTATCAAGTGGAATAGACATGGAGAATCAGATGCCACTTGGGAGCGAGAAGCAGATATTAGAGCTCGATTTCCAGATTTCAAGTTTTGATGATCTCAGTAAGTTTCTATTTTCAGTTCTTTATTAGTATTTCCGAGGGCGGAAATAGTTTAAGGGGGGTAGATTGTAATATCCCATTCAGTTAAGTATCAGTTACCTTCAAAACCAAGATATTTTGAGGGTAAATAAGTTTAGAAATTAAAGTTTTTAAGCCACACGGGTCGTGTCACAAGTGACACGGGTCGTGTGGAGTCACACGGGTCGTGTCACAAGTGACACGGGTCGTGTGGCTTAAGATGTTATTAAAGATTTGTTTCGGCTTTGTGACACGAGCCGTGTCACTAAGTGACACGGGTCGTGTGAGGTGACACGAGTCGTGTCACTAGGTGACACGAGTCCTGTTGCCGACAAAAATGCAGATTTTTGAGATTTTACATTTAATGCCAACCAATATG